GATTAAATTTGCTATGTTGGTACGACTACACATGTGTACGAACGAAGGGTGCTGGGGAATTTAGAATTTTTTAAATTTTATCTTTTGTAAGTTACCTATTAACAAAAGTGGTGGAAAGAGAATGAAAAGACTAAATGAATTCGGCTAGATATATATAAAAAAAATTCTAAAAATCCCCAGCACCCCTCCTTTGTGCGCATGTGTAGTGGTACCAACATGACAAATTTAGTCCGATGAAGTTCTGAAGGACGAAACGCGTCACAAGTAAACTATTTCCACATACAATTTTTCTCATATATATATATATATATATATATATATATATATATATATATATATATGTGTGTGTGTGTGTGTGTGTGTGTGTGTATTAGCAACGTGAATCGACATCATCTACCTTTCTGAAATCTTTTCTTTTATTGTCCTTTTTTCCCTCACTAAATTCTTTTCATTCTTCTCTTCCGTTTCCAGTAACCTCCTTAGTATCATTATCGTCTTACTTGGGAGATATGAGATATATATATATATATATATATATATATATATATATATATATATATATATATATATATATATATATATATATATATATATATATATATATATATATAAAATTTGAAAATTTGAACAGCATCTTGCTGCAAAAAGTGTAATTTACATATAAAATTATGAACATATATAATCTTAAATAGTAATGGTAACGGTAATAGCCGTTTTCATATATGGAAACACTCAGAATTCATTGATCAATCAATTGTGGTACTATCGGTTGAAATTCATAAAGATATTCTATTAAAACAATTTTTCAAAAAATCTTATGATTATGTCACCATTTTGTTTTCGAATTACATGTGCTATCTATCTTAGTTATTGCTGTTGTTGAAAATCCTTAGGTGATGCATTTTCTGTTATTTTGTATAATTCTTTGTAATTCATTAGCTTTGTAAATCTTTGATTCGAGAAAGTGGCTGCCTGCAGTTGACAGTTTACACATTTCTGAACGGGGTGGCAGCCATGCATGGCATTTATATAAAAGTCTCGATCTGACAAGTTTATTTAAGAACATGACTCGAGTTCTGAGGTTAATGCTTTGGTTTTGTAGCATTTTGTAGTGTTTATCGAAAACTACCCCTAGCGCATCCCCCTCTAGGTTTAATTTCCTTGTCAAAGAGTTTCATGAAATGACAGTTGGTTTGTCATTTATAACTTTGTGTTGTATTGGCTCAGAATGAGAACTCGGATTGCCGAGTTCGAATTCCAGTCGAGTTTCTTGCATTCACTTCCGCACAAATACCCTTGGAAAAGGTATGAATCCATCTCTTCTCCCCCCAGCTATGTGTTAAATAGCAGCACAGACTGTGTCCTTTAGCCTTGGTTGGCAAGCACTCTACCGAAAAAAAGTAATGGCAGCCTACTGTGGAAAAATCTTCCTAGACAGTCATGAAACGAAAGTGACCCGATCGCTTAAGCGTGTACCAAGTATGGAATTTAACTGACTGATTGATGTGTTTTATCAGTCAGTTATGATACACGCTTAGGCGTCCATGTACCTTTCGATACATGACTGACGAGGCAGATTTTTACCCGCAGTAGCTTGCCATTTCGTTCTGCGGTAGCCATCCAAGGCTACAGAAGCTACTTACCCATAGCTGGGGATGGGGAGAAGAAGGGTATTAGCACGTTAGTAAATGTAACGGATTCGAGGAATTGAACTCGGCTCTCCCATTCCTCAATCCGAGCCGCTATCCATTACTCCACCGTGTCTCCTCGATTCGCAGCAGCAGCTGGGCTGCTACAGCGGATCCTGTCACTAAAGTCTAATTTTCCTTTCTCTTTCAGATTGTCATTAACTTTATTAACCAACCCTATTACTATGCATACATTAAGGGAAACCTTTCTATAAATGTTCGCTAACATATTGTGAATGATTTCATTTAAAAACCGTAGATTTTATAAATGAGCAATTGTTTTATTGATGATTTTTAGAAATCCAATAAGTCAATTTCTTCTCTGAAAGTGTTAATCATCTTAGCATTTAGATCACAGCTAAATGGACGTACGCAATATATAAATAAATATTAATATATGTCAATATTTTGAGAATCTAAAAGTATTATAAATTATATTATTATAGAATGCCAACCTTTGAAATGATGTACGGCAAAAATGCTTAAACCTATCTGATTACTTTAGGAAATAATACTTGTTCTTCTTCAGTTACATGTGATTTAATAATAAAACTACACAGCACATAACAAAATGAAAGGGATTCCAAGTGTAGTGCTCAATATATTTTCTTTATCAATCGTGGTATTCCACCTTTGAATGAAGACATCTATATCCGCTTAGTAGAAGTTTCTTGGATGTTTTCTTGTGTGGGTACGGATTTTCCTCTTTTCGTTTGTTCACCAATGGAAAACCGCTGTCCTATTAGTGCTAATTGATGTGCAGCACTCCAAAACTTCCTGGGCGACTAACAATCTCTTCTCCTTCATAGAGATTTGAGTATATCGGGGTGCCACTTTGTATTGTTTTTTGAAGACCTAGAGACTCCACTGAACTCTAGGCTTTATCATAGCTCACTTGAAGACTTTCACAGTTTTACAATTCTTCTGTCAACTGTAATGAAAGCATCTGTTTATTTGGCTTTTCCTCATTCGCAACAGCAGCTGGGCTTCAACAGCGGAGCCTGTCAATGAAATCTCAATTTTCTTTCTCTTTAAATTGTTACTAACAACATTATAAACCAACCCTATAACTATGAATACATTAAAGGAAACCTTTCTATGAATATTCCTTCACATATTTTGAATGATTTCATTTAAAAAGAGAATTCTCTGTAGATAACGAGAAAGTAACATAATTTTTTTTACTTCGGCTTTAAGACCCCCCCGGCAAAATAATAATAATAATAATAATATAAAAAAAACAGAAAAAAACAATCATCCAACCAAGCAAATAAACAAAAAGCCTGGAAATTTTGGTTAATACTTTTAATAGGAAATCAAAATATGTATTACTTTTTGACCAACACTCGTTATACTTAATATTAAAACTGAAAATGTTTGTGACATTTTTCTTATAATTGCTACAGGTATCTAATAGGGACAAATTCTATTTTCCTGTTGTGTCCCAATTAACCAGTTGAATATGATTCGTTTTGTGTTCGATGTTATCTCCCTCTGTTGTGTTATTTTAGTCATTCGTTTAAGTTACTATTCAACTAAAGTTTACATCAACTATGCTCAAAGCCTTGAACTTTCACAGGCGACATTTATTTAAAATTATTAATGCTGTATGCGTTTGGCATTTTCGCGTCTTTTTTTTAAAAATATCTCCTTAGAAAAAACCAATCGTGTCAACCTTTCTAAAAGTTAATGTTAAAAATTGTCTTTTCTTATCATCTCAAGCGAAAATTAATTATTTATTTATTTTATAGCTGGCTTTAAAAAAAATGAACGTATTAACTCAATCGGACATCTATTCAAAAACAAAAATACGACTGGAAACTAAAATCACGGCGTGTAAAATGCGAAAATAAAAGAACTGACACTAACGTTGCTCGCCTGACATCAATTGGGGTCAGCAGACGATTCGTTTCAGGAGGATAAATAGAAAGAAAAAGAAAGAAAAGTTTGGTTTATTAAAAAAGAAAAAAAAACGGGGCCAAGGAAAAAAAATCTAATCTGATGAGAGTTTCATCGACTTACTATTCATTGGTTAATAAAAAAACAGGAATAAAAGATACAGAGACAAAGAAACATAATGGGCATTAACAATTAAGTAAAACTGTACATTAAGAAAGTATTGCAATGATAAAAGAAAAAAATGTTCTTGGCTGGACGTGAAACTTTGGCTGACATGGCGATGATTACGCCGAGTATATATTCGTGACCAAAAACTTTTCTTTTTTCTTTTCATATTGAAAAGACAAAATGTGTATTATGTCGTCAGGATTTCCACAAAAATAAATACATCAACAACAGACATGCATAACTTTATTTAAGCGTGATTGTAGCAATTAGTGTCAGTCGTTGAGTGAAAGCCGCTGAGAAAATAAATGGAGGGACTAACTTGAAGTACCGAGTTCGCGCTTCGTTGCCTGCGGTTGCTTTTTGATGCATCACACACACACACGGAGTGATTTTGGCATTTTCATTAACACACAGGTATATATGGCCTAGTGTCATACTAAGCGAAGTTTAGTAAATTATCAAATAGGTATAATAGGTTTATAAGCACCTTTTCGTACGTACACACGTAGATACAAACGCACACATGTAAGTATGTTACAAGCTAATATCAGCATATATACTGACAAGAACACACACATATATATGCATATAATCACACACACACACACACACACACACACACACACATATATATATGTATGTAAATGTAAACAGTTTATGCAATAATAAGCGTGTAGACATAGTGTCCTCAAGCGCTTACTGTCTCATGAACCGAGTTGGTGGAAACTATTACATACATACAAGCGAATTCTCAGATCAATGATAAAATATAGACTGACGCAACACAATCACGAACAAAGTACTGAGGCTAATAACAGAAGTCTTATCACCTGAGATCTTTCAACAACACCAACAACTAAAATGGATAGCTCGACTTTGAATTTCATGTACAACGCAACCGTTAGTTGCTAATTGAACACTGACCGTCGTATAATTTATATATATATATATATATATATATATATATATATATATATATATATATATATACCGTACTATAAATGATAGTGGAGCAATCCATTATATTTATTGATGGGAGGGGGTTACAATTAAAATATATAACTAAAAAAGACTTAATTGTACCCCATATTAATACATTGCATGTTCACCTTGGTCATTAAGACAGGTCTATATTCTCACAAGAATACTAGCGTCCAGATGAGGAATATAATCCGGTAATATATTAAAGCACTCAGTTTGCACCTATTGTTACAAGCGATCAAAAGTTGTAGGCGGGATTTCAGAATGTGTCAATTGTTGTTCCATCATATCCTATATGTACAGGTTCAATAAGTCAAAGGTCTAGCGATGTTAGCGGCCAGTGATTGTGTCGAATATTTTGTAGATAATACTGAGTAACCCGGAGGCAGGCATTATCCCGTTGAAACTTCACATCGTCTTCCTCTTTTAGGAATGGAATCAGAAAGGGATGAACAACATTGCACTGTTAATGTTTCCCACCACAAATATGATACAGCGTGTTGGGTCTGTGGGCAAATAAAACCTGGAAAATCTCATTAACTAGCTTTACGATCAACACGTAAACGATCATCAATTGTAAGTATCTGATCTTATCATTGAATACTAAAGAGTTCCACTCAAATCTTCCAGATTGTATCACTAGATACATGGATTATATTTTTGTAGTCTAACTGACAGTATAGATTTAATAACATACGTACTCTAACGGGAAAGATCTATGAAGAATGAGTTATTCTCCTATTTGTATTTGTCCCGTCAGGGGTATTATTATATTCGTGATATAATAACACCGTGGTTCACGGATGGAACAGAATGGCTAAAATAAAAAAGAATAACGAACAAGACTTTGTTCTCAGAGAGACTTTTATATTACTAAGACCTACGCAAAACTATATATACACAAATACAAGTGTCCCACACGGAGAATAATACATCACATATACCTACACAGCAAACAAAGTGTAATGAGAAACAAAAAGGAAGGCTCTTACATATAATATGGAGATAAGCTTGTGTCCGGAGAAACCATGTTTCGGATTTTAGATTAAACGGGCCGGATTCATCTATGTCTCAGGCGAGGATATATTCCACTAACGGGATACAGCGAGTCTTGGGTTTTCCTAAATTGAGGACTGCGAGTTGAAGCTTCTTTCTATATGCAGGAACGATATAGTCCCAAAGGGAAACAGCATCTTGAGACTTGTAAGCTGCAGAGGAGCCTCTGCCCAGGCCGGGGGGCGACTGGGGCTAAAGATAGCAACTTTTCGTTTTGTTACTGTAAAACGAACTGAAATTGGACCGCCACTGTATGTGGTGATATCACTTAGCGGCCGTCACGCAACCCATGTGACTTATCTCCACCAAAGGGAGATAATCGCCTTCTGTATCAGTACAGTACGTATATTACGGGGAGTGTATATCTGTATTAATAAAAAAAAAATAACGATTTTGTGAGAATAAACAATGAATTAAGTAAAAAAAAAAAAGAAACGAAAAGGAAGTGCAGTGCGACAAAGATGCAATATCTCAGTGGATTTAATTTATTATTTTCCGAGAATTAGAAAACTTTTTGTTTTAACCAGTTCACCCTTCTGCAAGGCAATAAATCCACTACGACACAAGGGGTTACTGAGTGTGAGAGACCAAGAAAAAAGATAAATGATAGATTGTGAAGAGAAAACATTTTCTAGCACGAAACAGTGAACCAAATTTCCTAGCAGAAAACCTAGCAATTGATGCAGTATAAACTTTCAACTTCATGTCAACCGAGAATGTTAGCCTGAGAAGGCGAAATGAGTCACTCTCTTGGGTGTTATCATCAGCCATTCTGATAGGAGGTAATCTATCTATATCACCCTGCACCTATCTATCTATCTATCTATCTATCTATCTATCTATCTATCTATCTATCTATCTATCTCAGTCTGTCCATATCTAGTTATCATAGTCTCATATTTAATTATAGGTCACTATATACTATACTATATTCTATATACATATTTCAATTTTCTCGTTAAGCTGTCATGAGTAAAACCAACCTATCTATCTATCTATCTATCTATCTATCTATCTATCTATCTATCTATCTATCTATCTATCTCAGTCTGTCCATATCTAGTTATCATAGTCTCATATTTAATTATAGGTCACTATATACTATACTATATACTATATACATATTTTCAATTTTCTCGTTAAGCTGTCATGAGTAAAACCAACCCATCTATTCATCTATCTATCTATCTATCTATCTATCTATCTATCTATCTATCTATCTATCTATCTAGTCTGTCCATATCTAGTTATCATAGTCTCATATTTAATTATAGGTCACTATATACTATACTATATACTATATACATATTTCAATTTTCTCGTTAAGCTGTCATGAGTAAAACCAACCTATCTATCTATCTATCTATCTATCTATCTATCTATCTATCTATCTATGCATAGATTGTAAATTATTTTATATTCATTTGGCTTCAGATTATTTCAAAATAAAAAAAAGTGTAAGTACCAGGGGGTCATCTTCTCCCAGAAAGTACCTCATATTCTGGATTGGGCTGTGGATATTACCTAACTTTAAATCTCGACATTCGGTTGCGATGTGAGCTCGCTGAAAAATCATTTCATATATATATATATATATATATATATTTTTTTTTTTCTGGTAATCTTTGATACTTTATATATTAACTGTAAATTATATTGATGTATTTTTCAAGTGTCACCGTGGTATGCCGACATATAATAACTCACTCTTCCTTCTCCCCCCCTCCTCTGTCTAAATCTTTCTTTCTTTCTTCTTCTTCCTCTTCCCTTACTCCCCTGCTTAACAATTTGTCTTCTTTTTTCTTCTTTTCTCTTCCTGTCTAAAAAGTATTTAAGAAGTCAAATTTTCTGGACTCTTAACTAAGTACGCTTGAACCTACGTAAATTATTAAAGATGGTTTTAAAAAATCTTATCCCTACTTTCCATTTCCAAGATAAACAATTCTATAGTCCGCCCCAATCTCTGTCTCTTATATGAATCTAAATCTATCCCTCTAAATCTAGTATTTAAAATTTAAATTAAAATTTAATTTTTTTAAAATCTTAAAATTTCTTAATTATAGTATTAATTGGATGGACTCTTAAGATTCTCTCTTTCTTAATTATTTAATATATATATATATATATATATATATATATATATATTACGTTGACAGTAACCATGTTGGTATGGTTGAAATGTGGAAAGGCAAATACTGACCCTCTAAATGAATTTGTTGATTTCCTTCATCCTGTATGGGTATGTCTATATTTCTGAGATGAGGTATTATGTACATTATTTACATTACTCGGACTATTGTCCTCATCTTTGTCGCCATATTTATCACATTGTTGTACGCTCGGGCCTTCTTCAGGTGGATTGAATTTCGCTCACTGGGGTAGACTGTTCCACGTGCCATGTTTGATGGATGTCAGCTATCAATTATCTCCTGTAAAGTTCTCCACTGCCTTAACCGGGTATTGAACTCACACTCTTTGGGTCTTGTCACGAACCAACGCCTTTATCCACTGTGTCATGTGTCCTTGAGGACATCTGGGTATGAATTTCTGGGTATTATAAACCTAATGTCTTCAGCAACCATTTTTACCAGGGCTCATATTGCAATTTTGCTGTTATCATTGCTTATTACTGGTTCCTTCCCATATTGTATTTATTTCTATGCTTGGTCGGCTCAGCAGATTTTTGTGGCCTAGCATATGTGCTGATTCCTTAAGTTTACGAATTTTCCAATGGTGTTCTCTGTCTATGATCTCAACATGATCCCACAGAGGGCGGTGATCTCCCTTCTCTCTCCATATGTGGTCAGCCACGCCTGATTTTTCTACTTCCCCTCGTGTTACAGCTTTCTGGTGTTCTTGAAGCCTTACCTTGAGGGGGCGGCCTGTCTCTCCTTTATATTCCTTTCCGCAGCTGTACGGGATAGCGTACACACAGTCTTTAGTCATGTTCTCCTCTATGAAATAAAGGGTTCAGTTCGACATTCCAACCACCTGAATAAGGCCGGAGCGTACAACGGCCGAAACGTTGTGATAAATATGGCGACAAAGATGAGGACAATAGTCCGAGTAATGTAAATAATGTTCATCCTGTATGTTCTTCTGTATGCATACGAGTCTTGGAATCTAACATCAGGATTCCAAAAGCGGATCCAAGCTGCAGAAATGAGATACTTCAGATGTTTTCTTGGTGCTTCCTATACCGACAGCGTCATGAATGAAGAGGTACGCAGAAAAGTGAATCATCAGATAAATGCCTATAAAGACGTGTTGGCCACCATAAAGAACAAGAAGCCGAAGTGGTATGGCCACGTAACCAGATCGTGAGGACTCTCTAAGACCATACTTCAAGGAATGGTACAAAGAGGAAGGAGAAGGAGACGTAAAAAAAAGAGATGATCAGACCGCATCGTTAAAAGAAACGGCGAAAGATTTGTTCAGACGCTGGCGCTAGCCAACGACCGGTTAAAGTGGAAGATTCTTCTTGACATTAAACAGCGCCTTTACGATCTTGGCGTCTTATGTGACAAGAGGAGAGGAAGGATTGTTTGAGTCAGACAGTATCTATCTACAATGGGGTAAGACTTTTATACTTTGTGTGGTTCGTTTAAGATTTCATATGCCTTGACTCAAACGCATCTAGATATAGTATAGACATCAACGATAAGGAAACAAAGTTGATGAGAAATAGTGAGCAACTTATGAGGACACCAGTTACAGTCAGTGGTCAGCAGATGGAGACAGGGAAACAATTCAAATGCTTTGATGCAACCAAGATGGATCCAGGATTGACAACAGCCGCGTTATACATGCTTAAAACCGAACTGGCGAGACAAAATGCTCACCCTCAAAAATAAATTGAGTTTGTTGTCTACCATCTTCTCGGTCCTCCTGTATTCATGCGAGTCATGGACTCTAAGAGCAAGATTCTGAAGGCAGATCCAAGCTGCAGAGATGATATACTTCAGACGTCTGCTTAGTATTTTCTACACTGACCGCGTTACGAATGAGATGCGCAGAAGAGTGAGTCGTGCGTGTTGACCATCATAAAGAATTGTTGATATTCTCAGAATTTGTCGGTAGAAACACATTTCTATGAAGTCACTCCTATAATAACATTGTCTAGCAATGTCTTATGGGAGTTGAAATACGACGGAGCAGTTCAGCAATGACGTTTCTGTTTCTTGGGGCATTTTTCTATCTCTTAATACTTTGCACAATTTCTGAAAGGCATCTTTCCCTGTTTCTATGCACTTTCGGATTTCTGTGTCATACTTTCCGTCGTCTGCTACAGCACTACCTAAGTAGTTAAATTTCTACAACTGCTGGATTTTGACATCGCCAATTTGTCGCTCACATCTTGTCTTGCCCATTCTGCTGATAATCATGCATACTAATAATACTTTCTTCTGGTTTTCTTTAAATATACACTCACTGAGAGTTCTTTGAGTCTTCGAGAATTTTCATAAATGATTCCACAAAGAAAGGATAGAAGTAAAAATCAGAAGTATATTCCACTCTCCTCCTGTTCAAACTTCCCAAATAGTTGAGATCTATCTCGGTCTATTCATATGCATCTATCTATCTATCTATCTATCTATCTATCTATCTAGCTAGCTAGCTAGCTAGGTCAATCTGTTCCTATCTATCTATCTATCTATCTATCTATCTATCTATCTATCTATCTATCTATTAAAATTAGATTATTCTTGTACATAGACAAAAGGGAAAAAAGACGTATTTTATCTTTTTTTGGTCTACATTAGCGACAAATATACACATTAACTGACAAATATACTCATAAATTCGTTTATATATATGTTATTGATATTATGCATTATATCATATCTATATCTCACAGTCTATTAAAAACTGATTGATCGCACCTATTTCAGTCTGTTCACATCTATCTATCTATCTATCTATCTATCTATCTATCTATCTATCTATCTATCATAGTCTATTCAGAACTGTCTGATGCATACCTATTTCAATCCTTTCATATCTGCCTATGTCATTCTACTCACATCTATCACACCTATTCCAGTCTGTTCATTATCTATCTATCTATCTATCTATCTATCTATCTATCTATCTATCTATCTATCTATCTATCGATTCAAATTCAAATGTATCTATTCATTCATCTTCTATCTATCTATCTATCTATCTATCTATCTATCTATTTATCTATCTATCTAATCATTCTATTTATCTATCGATTCAAATGTAAGCATGTTCTGATCTATCTATCTATCTATCTATCTATCTATCTATCTAATCATTCTATTTATCTATCGATTCAAATGTAAGCATGTTCTGATCTATCTATCTATCTATCGATTCAAATGTAAGCATGTTCTGATCTATCTATCTATCTATCTATCTATCTATCTATCATAGTCTATTCAGAACTGTCTGATGCATACCTATTTCAATCCTTTCATATCTGCCTATGTCATTCTACTGACATCTATCACACCTATTCCAGTCTGTTCATTATCTATCTATCTATCTATCTATCTATCTATCTATCTATCTATCTATCTATCTATCTATCCCAGTCTCTTCATATCTATGAAAAATCTGATTCTTCTATTATATGACCGTACATCAAAAACCAGAGTTTTCCCTTCGGCCGGCTCTCAAGTGCAATGCGCCTGAATCAACACCAGAATGGCTCAGAGAATGACCCTTGCTTTACCCACAATATTTACCTTCAAATATATCTGTGTCTGCTTCTCTTTAGTTTGACGTCCTTGTCGCTTTTCATGCACGATTTCCTACCCTTGCATTTCTTTCTGTGTGATCACGTAACTGCGAAAAGCAAATAAACATGGGCCGCAGAGGAGCGTAGGGCGGATCAAATATTGCCAAGTTTGTTCTTTATTCTTGTCCTACTGTAGCGATATGGTTTGCACGCCCAATTCTACTTACAACTGTATTTTTAGATGGCTCTGTTAACTGGTCGAAGCTTTTCTTTATATTTGATATTGTTGAAATAGAGGCGTCGGGTGGAGAAGTTGATTTGAGGGTTTTCGTTAAACTTGTTTATACAAGCTTGTTAATATTAACGCTTGCTACATGCACAGAGATTAAGAGGAAGATTGTGTTCTGCATATTGCTAGAGAATAGCGATAATACTTCATAGTACATAGCATTCAAATGTATTTAATTGATACTACATTATATTATATAATGATCCAGTTATCAGGTGTCTCTTTTTATTACGGTAATCCTGCAAAACTGGCACATCAAAGCGAGATTTTTGTTAGCGCAGTACTATTAAATATTTTAAGTTAAAAACTTAAAAAGTATAATTTGTAACTTAATTCTTAAAAGGCGGGAAAAAGGTGCACGAACATGTACGCCAAGAAGGTGAAAAACGAGAAAGTTAATTTTTTTACTAATAAAGTTCACCTAGTGCAAGCTCGAGAGCAGTTAAAGGTAAATTGTTACCCTTAACAAGATTATGAATGATGAGATGTGTGATATGAATGAGAGATGACGTGGTAGAAAGTGAAGATTATGAGGATAAAACGGATAAATAAAGATTGATCCTTAACTTTAAACGTTTAAAATTATAGCGTTCCGGGACTGTTCCACAAAGTAACCGTTCTTGCGAAAAAGTTGTCAGGTGGAACTTGCTCTTTACAATTTGTTCTATGGTTTGCGATAGTAAAGGATTTGTAAAAAAAAAAAGTCATTAGTAGAACTAATACTATATTTAGTAGGTAAATAAGATATGTTTAATTAGTTTAAAGTTTTGAATAATTGAAATATTAAGGCCGGGTGGATTATAAGTGGATTATATATGAATTTACTTCTTGAAACAAATTAAATTTTCTTTTCTCACTCACATGTGAGTCGGCACTTTAAACGATGGAACATAAAACTTTGTCCAATTTATCCACATATAACAATCGGATCTGTGATATGATATACATGCATAAGAAAAAGGATCTTTAAATTTGACAGACAAAAGGTCTGTTTTTAAAAATACACACACAGAAAGAGAGACGCACGCGCGCGCACACACACACACACACACACACACATATATATATATGTATATATAGGTAAAAATGTAGTTAACAATATGCTATATTTATGGATAGGAGACATATAGAAAGATTTCCCTTAATGTATGCATAGTAATAGGGTTGGTTAATAAAGTTCTTAATGACAATCTTAAAGAGAAAGGAAAATTAGACTTTAGTGACAGGATCCGCTGTAGCAGCCAAGCTTCTGTTGCGAATCGAGGAGGAACGGTGGAGTAATGGATAGCGGCTTGGATTGAGAAATCGGAGAGCCGAGTTCGAATTCCAGTCAAATCCAATGCATTTACTAACGTGGCAAAAGTATGAATGCTCTTCTTCTCCCCACAGGCCGGGTCCTATCGCAGAAAGGAATGGCAACCTACTGCGGGAGTCAGTCATGTATCGAAAGATACATGATCGCCTAAGCGTGTATCACACATAACCGAACTGATATTATGGGTAAAAGTGCTCATTATCAGAGGAAGGGGTTGTTTAAATATAAAAGTGTACACTGAGGTCATAGCCTAGTGGCGACATTCTGTTTCATGCTTGAATGAAATATTCTGGCATTCAAGCATGAAACAGATTGTATGTGCGTGTTGTCTGTGTCTGTGCGTGTTGTCTGTGCGTGTTGTGTGTGTGTGTGGGGTTGTGTGTGTGTGTGTGTGTGTGTGTGGTGATATATATTTCAAATATATATATTTTGCACAAAATATGCAAGGTTACAAAAGACGATAGATCTTTTAGTTCACCTTCTATTCATAAAACTAACTATATTTGTATTAGTACACAATTAAATACAGCACACAGCTTATTAAAAATGATAACTTACAAAGATATTAGGGGATCTACGTTATGGTACAAATTATGTATGTATCTGGTCTAGTATTGTTTAAAGGTCTACTTGTACATAATCACAAAAAGAATATATATATATATGCATGAGTTGGGATCAAATATGAATCAGAAACCAACAATGATAAGGACAAATAGGAAAAATTTATCAATAGAACATGTTTCACTTTTATTGAAGCTTCATCAGAGAACGAGATGTGGAGAAAAAGAAGAAATAAATTATGGCATTTTTACTTTTGTGTTGTTTTAATTTCATTGGTTAAGCAAGTTTCACGTGTTGAACCTACGTTAGTATAATTTGTTTGATTCCGAATTCAAACTGAGACGATGCGTTCATTCGAAGTTTCAAAAAGTAACTGAAAAACCGTAAATATTGCTTTATGTATGTAAATATATAATAATTCTTCTTTATCTATGTGGGATTCAGATGATAATGTATATTCGTAAGGGTGTATGTGTATGTCTATTGACATTATGTTTGTTGTTTTTCGCATGTTGATTTTGGAACGTTTTTACGTACATACGTACATACCGTTAGATTCTCTAAGAATGAATTCAATAAAGATTTGTGATGTAATATAATGTTTTGATGTGTGTTTATAGTTGTTAATATTAATATATATAATAGTAGATACGGGCTTTTAGATTCTGTGACGTCTCGCCGATATAAATTCTTTTATTTGTAAGATATTTATTTGATAAGTACCGGCATCTGAAGTGGTGTCGGCTTTATTTTCCTTCCTAATTATAAATCCGATTATCTTGGACGTGGTGGTAACGATCTTAGTAATAGGGTTAACTAATTTATCATTTTTGTAGAATGTGTGTTAGAGGAAAGGATTATGAATTTTATGTTGTTGCTGTTAGAAATGATATTGGTGGAGCCTAGTTTTTTGAATTTGCGTATTACGAGAAAAGCTGTTTAATATTGAAGAATATAATTGTAGAAAGTCGGCCTCTCTATATATGGGCGCATTTACGACTTAGTAGTGAGTCCGAGCCTCACTGGGGGCCCTCTACTATCAGCCTTGTGCCACATCTAAGCTACACTTAGAAAATCACTATATATGCGCGCAATGGCGCGTGTGTGTGTTGTACTTGCGTGCATTTCTCTGACTCAATAATCGAAATCAGAATTTTTCTTGGAATTGATTCTTGTGAACTTTTCATATATATATATATATAAATGTACATGAAAAAAATGATAAAAATATTGTTTTAAGGTATGATATATTTATGGGTTAAAGTGATTAATAAGCGCATGTAGATATAAATATAAAAGTGTACATTGAGGTCAAGACCTAGCAGCGACAGTCTGTTTCCTACTGAAACGCAATATTTTTGGACAGAAGTTGGCGTTTAAGTTATATATATATATTGTATGAAAAACATTCAAAGTTCAGGATACTCATAAAATATTTCGTGATGCCGCGCTCTAGTTATCTATCTATCTATCTATCTATCTATCTATCTATCTATCTATATATATATATATATTATCACTGTTATCATACACCCCCATATATATATATATATATATATATATATATATATATATATATATATATATATATATATATATACGTGTGTGTGTGTACGTCCGTTAGTCTGGAGATGATGCGACAATGTGTAAAAGCTTATGAACGACGCATTTCGCTGTCGTGACACACATTCATTTCATTCTGACCTGAGGAAACCAAGACCAACAGACCTCGGCGAAAGGAGTCGTTTATAAGCTTTTCCACTTTTTCAGATAATATCCTACACATCCTACACACACACACACACACACACACACACACACACACACACACACACACACACACATATATATATACATATATACATACATATACATGGTTAGAACTGTGTAGCGGAAAAAACATATTTTAAATCAATTAATTTATAATATTAATGCTCTGTAAATTTACATCGAGCACTATTTTGTAAAAATAAAAATAAAATACATATTTATTTATAAAATATAAATACGCTTAATAAAATCAGCGTAATCCAGGGTAGAAAAGAATTACAATCTTAGGGTTAAGAAGACAGTGGTGTGCCTGTCTTCAAAAATCAAGAATATGTGCATGCTTTGAAAGTAAGCATTAGAATACTATCTTTCACCTGATTTTGAACCCAGGCACCTCACGTCACGTCAAAATATTGGTTAACATATGATTGCTTTTAAAGCAAAGCCTCCCTAATTTGGAGACTGTCGCAACATAATCTTCTTACCCCAGATTATTCCACATCTGTGCCTCGTTTCAGTTTCAGTCTTTACGTGGAAGACAGGCGCAACACAATCTTCCTACTTTTGAAACAGTATTGGCCTCGTGTCAATCGAGTACATATCAATATATTCGTGTACATGCTTTTGAAAGCAACACTTCCAAATTAACACGAATGCGTTTGTTCTTCTGAATTTGAGTTTACCGAGAATAAACACATTTGCAGGTGTGCAGATGAGATTCCAATTCTGTCTCGTATCGCTAGAATTATTGGTAACCACTTCAGATCCGTGATATCGAGTTTATAGCTCGCCTACCTCATCAGCTAACAGCCCCCATTTTCCCGCATTTTAGATTGAATGAAAAAGATATCGTCTGAAAATATAATTGGCTGACTTATCTGTAAGTAATAATGATAGTGATATGTAAGACTGTGATGAGAGAATAAAAAAAAAGTGGGTTGGAACAAGGGATATGCTAAAAAGTATGAAGAGTGGGAGGTCGGTACACCCGAATAACGGATCAGAAAAAGGTCCGAACCCGTATGCATCCATGGGCAGAAATGAAGGGTAGTTCTTCGAATTGGTGCAAGCCACCCAAAATGGACCTGTCAAAAACGAGCGAAAAGACGATCTGACATAGCAAGGCAGGGTTGCTGGAAGACTAGTAAACGGTCAGCTAGACGGACAGCCGGCCAATCACTTGGTTGGCCAGGCGTGGGGTCTCTTGGCCGATCGGTCGAACGGACGAATGGTCATTCTACGTGAGGGGCGCGAAAGCTACGCTAAGACAGGCCGACCCAATCGATGTGATAATGAAGTCACCCCTTGTGAAGGGAGGAACGCAAGCGTGTAATTGTGCGGACAGGAGAGTTAATGGGGAAAAGCACGAACCCCAGCCACTATGCCCCGCCCTCATCGGTCAGGAACCTACAAGGAGAGTGCTTCTTTTTCTTCTATAATTTTAATCATTCACACCTTTCTTTCTTTCTTTCTTTCTTTCTTTCTTTCTTTCTTTTCATTCAAGTCCTTCGCCCTTTCTACTTTGTTTTTCATCATTGTAGTTGTTCATCCTTTCTTCTTCCTTTCTTTCTCTTTTTCTTTTTTCTTTTTTCATCATTCTAGTTTTTAATCATTTCTTCCTCCTCCTCCTCCTCCTTTTCTTCTTCTTCTTCTTCTTCCTCGTCATCATTCTAGTTTTAATCCTAGCTTTATCCATTTTCTTCTTTATTTTTCATAATTCTAGATTTTATTCTTTCTTCTTTTTCCTTCTCCTCTTCTTCTTCATTCCAGTTTTTAATCCTTTCTTCATCCTTTTGTCTTCGTTATTTTTTATAATTCTAGTTTTTCCTCATTTCTTCTTCTTCTTCTTCTTCAATTTTTCATCATTCTTGTTCTCTATTTTTTTTTCTTTTACTTTTTACCATAATTATTCATAACAGTCCTTCTTTTCTATTCTTAGTCGCTTTTTCCAATCTTTTTCTTTTTCTCCATTCTATCATTCTTTCCTTCGCCATTCTGTTCTGTTTTCTCCTTCATAAAAACCATTCTATCTTCTTCGTAGTTTTCTGCATTTTTATCATAATTTTTTGTTCTTTGCTTTGACTTCTTTCGCATAAACACTCCATCATTCTTTCTTCTTCTTCTTCTTCTTCTTCTTCTTCTTCTTCTTCTTCTTCTTCTTCTTCTTCTTTTTCATCCCTTATACTGTATTTTCCATTTATGTTTCTTTCATTCAGTCATCATCATCATCATCATCATCATCATCATCATCATCGTCGTCGTCGTCGTCGTCATCATCATCATCATCATCATCATCATCATCTTCTTCTTCTTCTTTCATCGTTTCATTTTCCATCGCATCCACTTTCTCATTTTACAAGTCGTCACGTTTTAAATCTCTTTCATAAATTCCTTTTCAATCATACAAGTCGAAATAATTTCCTTCCGACTTCTTACGAAGATTATTCTTCATTTCCCTTTTATTTCGCTTCTTGATCTTCAGTTTCTTCTTTTAGCCTTCTTTCGCTTCTTCATCGCCCTTTTTACGCCATTTCTCTTTCTTCTACGACCAATTCTCTATAAACACTAATTATCTTACTCTCTTTTGGAGGGATCTATCTATCTATCTATCTATCTATCTATCTATCTATCTATCTATCTATTTTTTAATTTCCCTTTATAAGAAATCCATTTATTTTACATTAGAAAAATGTGTATATATTAATTTGTATATGTCAAAAGTTAATAGTGGCATAAAACCTGATAAGAAAGAGAATGATTCTAGTCTTTTCATATCTATCAATCTGGGCACATCGACGGGGTGAAATGGTCAGACATCTTGTCTCGCTAGATTAATTGGAACTGAATAGTCAATTCGATCATCACTGTATGTCCCAAACTTTAAGTATTTTGCCACATCTAAGCCACGCTTAGTAAATTACTATCTATCTCTTAACTTATTCATCTAACTGAATTTGATCCTATTTATCTAACCTGTGAATTCAATACACACCTCTTTCGCTCTCTCTCTCTTTCATACGCACACACAAACACACACATACACTTGTGCACACACAGGAATGTTACAATGTCTATCTAAACTATTTACCCAAAATATGATGTCATATAGTAGGAATAACAGTTACTGTCTCGTAACACTTGCGCAAATACGTATTCTTATATGAAGATTGCTGTAGGTGCAAGCAAGAAAAATGATTAGAACAACTTTAATAAAAAGCCAAATTGTCATGACCAGAAGTCTAGCACACGCATTTCCGAAATGGTATAGCTTGTCGAGTACGTACCCTCACTTGTGATGAGTACCTATGAATAGTGATCCAAGGCGAAAAACTCATAAACCTCTGACCAAGTAACTAAGATTTATCAATGCAAGTAGCAAGCGGTTTAGCACTCACTGATTACGGAAGGACAGCTGTGGTACAAATTTCACTTAGCCTTAATCTAGATGACAGAAGTTTTGCATCACGACATATAGTACATCACTCCTTGTTTCATATGGGTTTGTATAGCCGCAGCCAGTCATTGTACCCATGTTCCATCACTGAAAAAATCTTTAGTGAGCACGCCTCATTCGATGAGGCTCATTTTTTTCTGCATGAATTTTACGTGGTGCTCCTGTGAAAGCGATATCACCAGAAAAAAACAAGTTGCATTGTGATTATTTAGATTACATTATGGACAATGGTATACCTTATATTACAAGCTCTGCTATGGAGAGTTAAATTTTCTGTGTAAAAATTTGTGTCATGATTGAATCTATCTAATTTTCTCTCTATGAGTTTGTGTCACTATGGAATCTATCTAATCTTCCGTACACGAATTTGGGTCATGATAGAATCTACCTAATTTTATGTGAAAGAGTTTGGAGTCGCTATGGAATCTATCTAATTTTATGCGTAAGAGTTTGGTGTCACAATGGAATCTAATTTTCAGTGCACAAGTTTAGGTCACGATGGAATCTATCTAATTTTAATGTGTAAGAGTTTAGTTCACGATGGATTCTATCTAATTTTATGTGCAAGAGTTTGGGTCACGATAGAACGTAAGTATAAGTTAGCAGAATAGAAGTTTTCATAATCAATTAATTTCAACGGTTCTTATACGACTATTTTATTTTGTCCATCAGAATAAATCTAGCTACCGTTTTCTACTTCCTACTACCTATTCTTTCCAAATCTTTAGCAGACTGTACTATCGATGAGTCGAAATATTGTGTTAATAGTAAAAACCAACAGAAACAACGTAAAAAATCTCTCGGGTTGATAATGACTTTTCTCAAAATTATAGAATGCATCTTGAAAATGTTGGTTTATTATAACACTGACCTTTTGTCGGAGTTCGTTAATCGAAGTAAATAACAGTATTTATGGCATCCACAACTTTTTCAATGCCTGCAGGAAAGAAAGATTTTTTTTCACCATTTAGCTCTGCTAGTGGTGAAATTATATCTCTGACACTGCAATTACGATTTAACCATTATATAGTTTCAACGTTGAGTAAACGATTTTTTATCAAGACTGGAAATTGAAGATTGGGCAACTCAAAATATGGTAGTAATACTCCGGGTTTGTCTAGTTTGACTCTTTTCAAAATAGGGCATGACAAGAAGACAAATGCTTTCTTGAATAGTACAGTGAACCGACCATTTTCTCAGCATCTTTAGCAATGGATAGAGGGAACTTGAGTTCAAATAGACGTTCAAATCAAGAGAACTCAGAAGGAGTGCAATCGTTTATCGAGGTTGGAGAAAACTCAGTGTTTGATCTATGATGATAAAATGTTACTAGCTTGGTTTTTAAGTATTGTAAGTTGCTAGAAAGTTTGCCGCCCTACCTTTGAATTGTTAGAGATACTTCGGAGGAAAGATCAGCTACGAGTCTCGGAACATCTTTATTTTTTAGACATTTATCTCGCAAGCTATTTGAAATTTTAATCAGTAAGGATGTTTTTTTTATTAGTTTCTCATTATAATGGCCTTTTAGCGTTTGATTCGTGTTATAGAACGTAAAACAGACGGCAGTGGTGTGATACAAAAATAAGATACAAAGATTCGTCCGTGCCTTGCATATTGCTACCTTAAATGGCTTAGTGTTCCTGCGATACATTAAGAGATCATTGATAAAATCCAAAGAAGAATCTGCAATGTTATTGGTCCTCACCTGCTATTTCGACTTCAGTCCTTTTCCCACCGCCGTAACGTAGCTTTCATGTGTCTTTTTTTTTTTAAATAAATTCTTTCATGGTAATTGTTCTGATGAACCTACCATTTTGGTACAATTGTTGTATATAAATTGTGTATTTATTGCAAATATTCATTAAGGTTTCATTTTTAAATGTTGTTATTTTACCTCCCTCCCATAGGAAAATTGTACATATGGGAACTAGTTAGGACTTCATAGTAAGAATGGTAGGTAAGAATGTATTGTTTTGGTGCAAGGAATACTGTGGTATGTTTGGGTCAGTAATCGTGACTAAGCTAAGTTTAAGATAAGACAAATTGGAGACCATCTTTCCTCTATCCCCCTTTTGGCCTTGTGCCACATTTTTGTATTTTCAAAATAAATATTTCTTTCCTGTATGGTTAGGAGTTCATAGAGACTGAGGTATTATGGTGGCTGTAGTAAGTAAAAATGTGTTGTTTTGGTGTAAGGAATACTGTGATATGTTTGGGTCAGTAATTATGGCAAGCTAAGTTTAAGATAAGACAGATTGAAGACCAGCTTTCCCCTATCACCCTTTTAGTCTTGTGCCACATTTTTGTATTACTCAAAATAAATATTACTTTCCATTATGGTACCTAGACTTTATTTATTTAAGCGTAATGCCAAATTGCCGGCAAAGTTTCATCATTTTACAGTTAAAATGGCTAGATGTTACCCTAAGTTATGCTGTTTATATTCACGCACTTCGTGGCTTGTGAAACTCTCTTCCGACTTTTTGCTTTTCAGCCATCTTTGATCTTCAAAAATTTAAATGAAATGTCAATCGTTATCTTCTGTCTTCTCTCTCGTTAATAATGCTTTCCTTTCTCATATATTTTTCACACTCAATAACTCCCTGCGTTTTAGAGGCTTTGTTTCCTTGCTTGAGGTGAAATGATTAAAAAGAACTAGTTTAAAATTAATAATTATTCCTCCATCATTTAAAAAAAAAAAAATTTGCATCATGTTAAAATTAATTTTTACATATCTCTTTTTTTTTTTATTTCGGATATTATTGGATTGTATCTTAATTATCATTTTTACAAGTTTCTGTCAAATTTTGGCATACGGGTGAAAACAATTTCCAAAATAAGGATAAACAAGACCACCTTTTCGACAAATTCTTTTATTTCCCTTTGACATTTTTTGTATAGTCAAGCCAGAAAAGGGTGGAGAGGCCCCAGCCTTTTACTTTCTAGAGTATTATAACGCTCCAATGAGCAGCCCCTAACATCTTTTCATTATTAGCCCCTGGAGCAGGAGTTCAAAATTTCAACCTCCACCCAGTATTTCTTTTTATTTCTCATTTTGACGTACAGACACGTAAACAGACCCCCAAATCAAAGAGAAATAAGAAAACTTTATCGAATAGAAAATTAAATAACACAAAAAAGGTTGACATGTCGTAAAAAATCAACATCACCTAACCGAAATTCATAGAGAAAATAATTCCGTAGACAAATTTTTTCGTTAATTCTTCATTAATTCTTTTTTTTTTTTTAAACATTCGAAAAACATTCAGTTCTTAAAACATTAGAAGTATATTACACAAAAGACATGATATTATAAAATATTCAGGTTATATATATATATATATATATATATATATATATATATATATATATATATATATATATATATATAAAATAGGATGATATATATATATATATATATTTTTTAAAAAATTTTATGAAATATTCAAACATTTTTTTTTAAATTTTTAGAAAACAAACATTAAGTATATTATAAATATTACAAAAGACATGATATTACAAAACCTCAGGTTCATATATATATATATATATATATATATATATATATACATACCCAAAATAGGATGACATATTCTATAACACTTTTTTAAATTTTTTATATTCAATATATATTATATATATATATATATATATATATATATATATATATACATACATACATATATATATATATATATATATATTTATATATAAATATAAATACATAATATATTCTCGTTTGAATGTATATAAAATGTCCTTTCACATGTTTATAATAGTTCGATTTTATCAAACACATGCCGTCGGTATATTTTGTCCCGATTGTGTCACGCACTAGATATAAGCAATGCTACTAACATTACACACACACACACACACATACACACAAATATATATACATATATATATATATATATATATATATATATATATATATATATATATATATATATATATTGTATGTGATTGCGTGCATGTGTCTGTATATATATATATATATATATATATATATTGATGGCGCTGAATAATCACAGAAACATATGAAAGTTAAAATAAAATTCGAAACTGTTTTAGACAAACACATGTGTATCTGTGTGCAAAACAAAAAAAAAATAGTTTAACTGGATCTCTAAAAATCTTTTACCATTACACTTACTTTACAATCTTATCTTCGAATTAGTCTCTCCATACTTATTTGCACATTGGATTACAAAATATTTGCGGCGAAATACAAGCGTTTATATGAGATGCCTTCAGATTACCGAACTTTTGCGTTGCGTTGAGCGCGCGCACACACACACGCATACAAACATATATATCCACATATATATAGCATACATACATAAATAT